CTTTGAGAGAAGTGCGGAAGTTCAAAATCTCGAAACAAATGAGTCAAGCAGAAGGAGAGAATGGAAATGTTCGAGAGGGAAGCAAGCAATAATCGTACCAAAGCCTTCGATTGGAGTAGATAGTATGAATTGACTGACTCCTAAGGTGTACAGTGCCATGTGCAGCAGGTCAATTTTTCCGATGATCATTATCTTGTCCTCGTTGAGGTCGAATGAGGGGTCTAGGAGGATGTATTTATGTATCTTGACTTTGTTTGAGTCTGGAGGAACAATGTTATCAAAATTGAAAAATTCGACGCCGTCCTCAGGTGGATATCAGAGAAAGCTGGTTGATAGCGAATGGGATCATATCCCATCGCTGTACAACTTTTTACACACACCAACTCCTGACACGCGTCCCGAGTTTCCGACTCTGGTCCATTAATCGATATTCGTACTTGAACATCCGGGTGCGCCGGGTCGCGTTCAAAACGAGTTCTCAAGTTCATGGGGCCAAACATTCACCCGACAGGAGACCTTGAAAGTTTTGAGTCAAAAAGCCGTCTCCAAGGCAGAGCTGATGTACGGACTGTGATGTTAGTGTTAGGACTCAGAGCTCTGTTCAGCTGGGTTGATGAAACATCACTCCATGAAATGAAGACGGTCAGTTTCGTACTACGATCTTACTATGACTTCCTGTCGCACTTTAGAACCCTCTCAGAATTTAATTTCCACCGTTTATATCTAAATTAAGACAAAACCTCCCAGCTCTTGAGGCTTTCACAGTGTCAATGCCCAGGGGAATCCTTCCAGGCCCTCAAGACTGTACGGTCTCACCTGCCAGTTGTCAAGACCATACAGTCTCGTCAACTGGGAGAAAACCCCGGCCTTTGAGACTGTATAAGTCTTGACGGCCGGGAGGAAACCTCCCAGACTTTGAGGCTCGCGCAATCTTTAAGTTCGGGAGGGATTCCTCCCGGTCTTTGAGACTGTACAGTCTCAACGGGCGGGAAGGATTCTGCTAACTGGTAAATGTGTTGAGTGGAAAAAATGTGTTTCCGGAATCTCTGAGGGTGTGGTGGTTCTGAGGGAAAGGAGGAACTTTTTGGCTGAAATGATGGCCAACTTTCAGAACTTGAAAAGTTGGGGAAACCATTGGTCCAACTTTTCAAAAATTTGTGGGTTTCTAGCTTATTTTGTTGCAAGTGATGGGGAAACCAGTTTCCCAACTTTCCGAAAGTTGCAATGCCTGGGTTCTAACTTCACTTTGTCTTTCAAACTGGATCATCAACTTTCAAAATTAAAAAGGAATACGAAAAAATTTTCCTAGGTAATTGAACTTTTTCAGGTAAAAAATTTCTGCTCAGTCAACCAACTTTCCACCAAAAGTTTGAAAGTTGGTTGCCAGTAAGTTTTCTTGCACCCATGGTGTAGGCAAAGCGTCTGTGAAACCCACCTGTGAGGACTGACCGCACCCCTCTAAGAGAGTCGCTCGCGTGCGCGTAAGAGGTGGTTTAGACAGTTATTTTGGCGGGGATTCAGTCGGCCGCAGGAACCGCCGGTTTGGGGGGACCTCCCAGCCAAAATTCCCCAAAGTCCGCTCAACTTCAAACTCAACCTCACCCGCCCTTTTGTTTCCTCCAAATCCGCCGATACTGAAAAACAGTCATAAGCTATCGTTGTTTGAATACAGTCCTCCTTTACTCACGCGACATTGCTCATATGTACCATTCTTTGTAACTAGTACTCATGTGATGTCCATTGCAACAGCTACTCAACAATCAAAATGAAACCAAAAATGAGTGTTGAGTCTTGGGGGGGGGGGGGGGA